CTGTTGGTTCCATTCGGCGCAGCCCTCTGTGAGCAAAGTGAGAGCTAGCAAATGATCAACCGTGGAAGATATTTTGCGATGCGCGGCCTGGTCTGGCGACCGTTCAGAGATGATCGCCGGCTGTAGTCTGTCGCTCAACATGCGGGCAAACAGTTTGTATCATATTGGTAAATTGGGATTGGCCTATACTTTCTCACCACTAAGTTGCCCTGTTTGGATAATACAACAAGCTCTGTTGTCTGCCAAGTTTCCAGCATGCCAGCAAAATGATTCAAAACGTCGCTGAACAGGTCGAAGATTTTGCCCGGAAAATACTCTGCCGATGACTTCGCCATGTCTGCAACAATGCCAGGCTCGTCCTTGCATTTGCTGCCCTTCATGAGCTTCAGCGCTTTGATTACCTCCTCCATTGTGAATTTCGTGATATCCTTGCCGCCGTCTCCGAAATTGCTGTCTGCGCTGTCGCGTCCCCGATACAGGGCCTCGTAAAACGTGGCGAACGCGATGGCATTGTTGCTCAGATGATCATTTCCGGAATCATCCCCCCGCACTAAAGCAATGCGGGATTTCTCTTTTGCGTTTACAACTCCAGCAAGGCCAGATATTCCACAGAAGTCTGTGACAAAAAAAAGCTTGTGATTACAGCTTCTCGCTTATCTGTCAAACCTAATTTCACGAGTTCCCGAATCTGCTAGCAAGGATCCAGCCTGGTGGCCTTTTTCTCTGCGGAGTTCAGGTCTTGCCTCCGTCGTAACGCTCGCCGCCTGCCAACCAAAGATTGCAGCTCCTCGTCAGCGCAGTGAGCCGTGCGTTTTTGTGTCTTCTGGGGGAGCGCCTCGTTCAGCGCTGCGACCATACTTTTTTCCAAAGCGTCGGCTCTGTCTGACGCATCAGGGCCAACATTCGTCTCTTCATCGACCCTAGCGTCCAAAATATTGCCATAACTTGTGTTATTTTCCCAGTTATCCAAATGTTGTGGCGCTTCCGCACGACTGGCTTTTCCGTTGCACTCGTCGCCAATCGGAGCTCGACGGGCCTATGGTATGAGCCGGCTAACCACTGACAAACATGACAGCACTTCATGCTTTCACGAACTCTTGAATCCACCAGTATATAGAGCGCTGTTTCTCCCGAGCTCCATGCGCATATGTCCGTAAACCCTCTGCGATTGCGTCAGCAAGTGTTGGCCAGCACGACCTCGTGCTCTAAACAAACATGCAATAGCCGTTTCCCCCTGGAATTTTCGCCTTCGAATTGCATTCGGACCCAAGACATCGTTTTTGTTCCTCGCCTCTGCTTGGAACCACTTCCGCGTTGAAGCCCCCAATAATCAAGAGCCTCGAGCCTCGGGAATTGCCCTGGTGAATGAGCTCGTCTATATTGGAATATACAGCTTCCAAGCAACTTTCGAATTTACAATGAGGCATAAAGACACCAATGACTTGACATATTGTTCCACAAACGTCCAGTTCCAGAGTCGCGATTCTGTCACTCACGGCCTGGAAAGATCGGTATTCCCATCTGTCGTGTAATAATATACCAACTCAGTTTTCCCTCTGGACCCACCAGTTCCCAACCAAGTGCGTCCACCATCTGTAGTGCAAGCTTCGTTGTTTTCTTCGCGCCATGTCTTTGCAACAGATCATAGCGTCCCAGCGGCGACTTCCGATCTGAATGAACATACTTGTCAACCGTTCTTCGAACTGCATAGACGAATGAATGTTGTAAGTAAAGATTATGAGAGGGACCTGTGAAGACCCGCTTGTAAGGCCAGTGAGCATGCCATACTCGTTGGTGTACATAACTTCTGTGCGCTTCTCAAATCCTAAGATACGACTCTTTGGCAGTGCACCTTCCACTCCTCAATGCCCTCCTCCACCTCATCCCGCACCTCGCTGGTAATGCCTTTTCAAGGTCATGTCTGATTTATCTTTGACCCACGCTACCTTGTCGTAGTTCACGCTTACCGTGGTTTCTTTTTTCCACCGGATACTGACATCCTCTGGGTCGCAACCCTTTTTTTCGATAATGTTGTGCTGGGTGAGACCAAGAGTCTTGTCCCTCTCCTTGTACGTGCGATTGTTCGTGAACCTCAGCGTAGCTTCTCCAGAAATCTTGCTGGAATTCCGAATTGTCTTATAGAGCCCAATGTGTGAGGCTTCCGTTTGAAACTCGATTACCCCAACTTGCCCGATCGCTGAAAGCAAACACCTTCTTCACCACGTTCCGTTTCCGTCCACGGCCAGGAACTCTTCTATGACCTTTACGATGTTCTCCTCCTCGATCTCCTTCTTGAACCCTCCAACGATGACCTGGCACGTCCTTCTCCCATCTGTCTCGCTCTCGTCGTCCTCCTCTCTCTCTCTCTCTCTTTCTCCTCACCCTTTTCTCTTCTTACTCTCGAATTTAAAACTCTCCTCCCGCACCTTGTCCAAATATTCCCTGACCTCCGCTGCGACGACGAGTTCCATCGTGTTTCGCATCTCTTCTTTCGGGACTCATAATTCCTCATTGGATTTGATGTTCGTCACATCGATCTCGAGATCCTCCACCCGCTCCTGAACCTCCGCGACAAAATTCGTAACCTTATCCACCTCCTCCTTCAACTCTTTCATCGTTCTTCCCGACCATCCTGTGGTGTTGGCTCCTCGTTTTGAAGAGACAGCGCCCCGCGTTCCCACCTTCCTCCCGCTGCCCCCTCCCTCCTCCCCCTTCTCCCTCCTCCCTGCGTTTCACCCAACTAGTACAGCGCTTCGCGGCCCCATAGGGTGCCCCGCCGAAGGCCCCAGTGGCAGGGTCCGCATGCAGTTCCACCTCCATTTCGGCGCACCCCTCACACGTTTCGCGGCCTCATAGGGTGCCCCGCCGAAGGCCCCAGTGGCAGGGTCTGCATGCAGTTCCACCTCCATTTCGGCGCACCCCTCACACGTTTCGTGGCCCCCATAGGGTGCTCCGCCCAGGCCCCAGTGACAGGGTCCGCATGCAGTTCCACCTCCATTTCGGCGCACCCCTCGGACGTTTCGTGGCCCCATAGGGTGCTCCACCGAAGGCCCCAGTGGCAGGGTCCGCATGCAGTTCCACACCCATTTCGGCACACCCCTCACACGTTTCGTGGCCCATGGGGTGCTCCGCCGAAGGCCCCAGTGGCAGGGTCCGCATGCAGTTCCACCTCCATTTCGGCGCACCCCTCACACGTTTCGTGGCCCTATAGGGTGCTCCGCCGAAGGCCCCAGTGACAGGGTCCGCATGGAGTTCCACCTCCATTTCGGCGCACCTCTCACACGTTTCGTGGCCCCATAGCGAGCTCCGCCGAAAGCCCCAGTGACAGGGTCCGCATGCAGTTCCACCTCCATTTCGGCGCACCCCTCGGACGTTTCGTGGCCCCATAGGGTGCTCCGCCGAAGGCCCCAGTGGCAGGGTCCGCATGCAGTTCCACATCCATTTCGGCGCACCCCTCACATGTTTCGTGGCCCTATAGGGTGCTCCGCCGAAGGCCCCAGTGGCAGGGTCCGCATGCAGTTCCACATCCATGTCGGCGCGCCACTCACATGTTTCGTGGCCCTATATTGTGCTTCACCGAAGGCCCCCAGTGGCAGGGTCCGCATGCAGTTCCACCCCCATTTCGGCACACCCCTCACACGTTTCGCGGCCCCATAGGGTGCTCCACCCGAGGCCCCAGTGGCAGGGTCCGCATGCAGTTCCACTTCCACTTCGGCGCGCCTCTCACACGTTTCGTGGCCCCACAGGGTGCTCCGCCGAAAGCCCCAGTGGCAGGGTCTGCATGCAGTTCCACCCCCATTTCGGCGCACCCCTCACACGTTTCGTGGCCCTATAGGGTGCTCCGCCGAAGGCCCCAGTGGCAGGGTCCGCATGCAGTTCCACTTCCATTTCGGCGCACCCCTCATTCGTTTCGTGGCCCCCATAGGGTGCTCCGCCGAAGGCCCCATTGGCAGGGTCCGCATGCAGTTCCACCTCAATTTTGGCGCACCCCTCTCGAACGTTTCGTGGCCCCATCGGGTGCTCCACCGAAGGCCCCAGCCGCAGCGCCCGCATCGGTTCCACCTCTATTTCGGCGCATCCCTCACACGTTTCGTGGCCCCATAGCGAGCTCCACCGAAAGCCACAGTGCTGCGTTCGCATGCGGTTCCACCCCCCCATTTCGGCACACCCCTCACAAGTTTCGTGGCCCTATAGGGTGCTCTGCCGAAGGCCCCAGTGGCAGGGTCCACATGCAGTTCCACCCCCCATTTCGGCGCACCCCTTGCACGTTCCGCGGCCCCATAGGGTGCTCCACCGACGGCTCTGGTGGCAGCGTCCGCATGGCGTACCCGTGCCAATTTTGGCACACCCGTCACACGCGTCGTGACCCCAGAGAGGTTCACCGAGGTCGATACCCACAACTGCGTCACTCACAACTGCACATGGTTGGGTCCCTCGCCAGGATAATTTTTCAACTTGCGGACCTTATCTGCGATCTTGTTGAGACGTTTGTTTTGCCTTTGCTCGAAGCGTTGGAACCATTCCGGCGCATCCGAGCCAACCACCTTGCCACCCTGATTGGACAGGTCATCGTCGATCGATCAATTCTCGATGGCTTGCTTTGTTCTTACTCCCTTTCTCTCTGGCGTTGACCCCGATCCTGCGCCTGCACGTTTGGACATGATCTCCCAAGTCGCGAACGCAATGGGACAGGCCTGATGTGTATCCAACAGTTTACTTGAGCCAAGGTGCTTACTTGAGCCTAGATGTTCACTTGAGCCAAGATGCTTGATTGAGCCAAGATGTTTACTTGAGCCAAGATGTTTAGTTGGATGGGAGGGCGGCCAAAGTCGCCATGACTTGATGTCGAGAAGGAACTGCGGCCGACGTCGTTGCACTGGGAACCTCGACGGCGCTGTGGCGTTCGGACCCCAAGCTCGGACGGATTACGGTGGGGAGCTTTTGCTTAACGTGTCTCTGCGGTGGCCCCAGCGACACGCTATGCCTTGAAAGTGGATAGAGTGTCGCTCCGCTCCGCGAGGCGGGAAGCTCGGAAAGAATAGGGACGTTGACGCCTGGGGACCGGGAGGGGGATAGCGTGTCGCGCCGAAGCGTGGTGGGCCAGAACCGGCGGAGCGGCGCGCTGAGCCAAAATTCTCGACCGCAAGCATATTTCTTACACAGATAGAGAAAATGGCTCGACTCTACTCCAGATGGTTGCGCTTGATCAGATCTGCGGTTTGTCTTGTCACCAAAACAGCACTTCAAGTGTGGGGCTGGCCCGGCTCTCGTAACAACATGCTTGGAGTTCCCAAGCTGCCCACGTTCTCCGAAGCCCACCTGGAAGCCTCCTGCGTGAGAGCGTCATCGGAGCGACCCTTCGGGGACCTGCGGGTCGGGAGGAGGGGGGAGAAGCAGGAGCACAAACTCCATTGACATGTGCTTGCGCTTGCAGTCGAAACGCTGTCACAAGGAACCCTAGATAAGGAACCAGGCTGCATTTTCCACAAGTTAATTTTCGATTTCCCTTTGGAAGCCCAGGGAAACCTAAGACAACATGTAAAAATAGTAAGGAACACCGAGCCCCTGCCCAACGAAAAGGGTTCCTTCTTCAGCGGCCCGACTGTACTGAAGTCGTGACTGATCTGGCTGACCAGAATCGTGATACAATCGGCGTAAACAGCCATGCTTCAGCAGATCAGCTCGCACACTGAATTCGAACATTAAGATAATCGCGGATCCGCTGTTCCACCCCAACGCGCACACCCCACCGTTCTTAATCCACACTCCCATCACGATACTCTAAGTCGTGCCGCACGTGCAGGCGACCACAGAAATCCTAAACCTATAAACAAAACTTGCGGCAAAGCCGCCTGTGACGGAGGCCGACAGCGCCCAGCCACTCTGCAGAAAAGAAGGACAGATCGTGTTTTGGGGAACGAGGGCGAAGGTAGCACAGGAAAGATGCGAGGCCACGTCAAGGAAAGCGCATCGCGATGCCATCGCGGCCACGCAGCCCGTCTGATTGTTGCGAGTCGCACTTCGGAGGGACACACGAACCAACAACGCTACAGTGGAAGCGCTCGATCCCAGAGCCTCAAGGACAAATCGGAGGCAGGGGCAGAAGGAGGGAGATGACGAGGCGTATGGTACGAATGACAATGGTCATACGCACTGGTGCGAATGACAATGGTCATACGCACCTCACAGCGGCGGAAAACACACGAAAACGAGGCCCTTCAAAGGGCGGAAACAGTAGCACGACGACCCGCACAGCGCAGCGCCGCCAGCAGAGGCGATATATCGCCTGCTCACACGAGCGAACCTTCTGTACCAGTCAACGCGGAGCATTGACTTGCGATGTACGGTCGAGAAGTTTTGCTCGGCGTGTCGCTGCGGCGGCTCCGGCGACACCGATAGCGTGTCGCTCCGCTTCGCGGGATGGGACGCTGGACGAGAAGCTCGGAACGTGTGGTGCCTCGCGCCGAAGCCTGGTGGGCCAGAACCGGCGGCGCGACACGCTGGGCAAGAGTGCCATGGCAGGCCGCATCTGAAAAGCCCACGGCCGGCGTGAATGCCAGGGCCGCGAGGGCCGCACTCGGGAAGCGCGCCTACTTGGTGGTCCTGCCTGCGCGGGCGCGCGCGCTGAAGCGCTCAGAGCGTCATGGGCGGCACGCGCGGCCACGGGCACGCCGCGTCCGGGAACATCTCGGGGGTGGCCGGCCAGAAGCCGCCGGGCGCCTGCTGGCAACGCCCACAACGGGGGTCGCGCGGGGGGGATGGACTTCTGAGAAGGCTGGGGCGGCGCCTCAGAAGGCGGGGGCTTTTTCAGGAGGCCCCAGCGGCTCCTGCGAGAACTTCCCAAGAGACGCCAGGAAGAAGCCGACTGCCTTCTTGGAGGGGCCCCCCCCCGCATTCTCAGAATGCCACGCCCCTCGAGCCACCTCCAGAAATCCGACGTTACGAAAGAAGTACAAATCGTCAGAAAAAACTCGACCAGAGCCTGGAACCCTGCCTCTCTGCTGCATTTTCCGAGCCAGGGTCTCAGGGCCATCGTGAAGGTTGTTTTGTAATGTCTCTGGTGACGGTCCTTACCCGAGAGGAGGAGCCGTTGACTGTGCTGGCCGCAGCGCCTAAATTGGTCTTCGCGCACCTTTTGGTATGAAGAAAACGGGTTCTGGGGGAAACGGGTCCTGGACCCCGGGGCCGTCCCCCGGGCCGACTCCTTCATCCTGACTCGTTGTCTGACGGTCCTGGGGTCCGTGGAGGGTAATGGTGATGCCTGGGCGGGGTGCGGCACGTTGGGGCGTGGGTGCGCTGCCAGCGCCCCCAAACCCCCGCACGTATGATCGTTACCGCTACCCGAAGAGTGGTTTGGCCCAGGCAGCGACTGCCATGCGCTGGAGGACAACAAAAACACTCTCAGGGCCCTCGTGGGCGCCGCCGGGCCTGGCCCCCTGCGGCCGAGGCGGCGCCAGCATCCTGGCGGGGCGAGCGGACTGAGAGATCTGCGCGTTTGGACATCGCATTCGAATTCCCCCAAACTGCACGTTTTCGGAAGTCGCGTTCGACCTCAAAAACATGATAGAAAAACAGCGTGCTCTGGGAAACCGAGTTCGACTTCCGAAAACACGCAGTTTTCTCAGGCCGTTTCGGCTGCACGTAAGAGTGATCCGAGTCCCAAGTGACCTTTGGCGCGCGGCTTGCCGGCCAGCGCGTACGGTGCGACAATGGCGGCCTGCGTGCTTGGGCTTGGCCCCGCAGCGCCCCGCGGAAGCCGCGCATCAAAGCTCACTCCGGGGAAGGGTCCCTCTCACGTGCATCCGAAACTTGAATACAGCGCCGGGGGGGGCCCGCGGCCGAGACGGCGCCGCCATTTTGGCGGGGCGGGCGGCACGGCGGCACACCCTCCTCCTCCTCCTCCTCCTCCTCCTCCTCCTCCTCCTCCTCCTCCTCCTCCTCCTCCTCCTCCTCCTCCCCTGAGATCCAATGTTGCGCAACCATGCAACATCACAAAGAGTCACGCCCGGAGCCCCGGGCTCCATGTTTCTGCGCCATTCTTTGAGCCAGATCGATCTTAGAGGGTTCTGGGCCCCGACGGCGAAAACTTCCGATGTGAAAAATTGCAACGCCAGGATCTCAGGGTCCTGTTCTCCTCCTCCTCCTCCTCCTCCTCCTTCAAAATTTTTTCCTGATGAGCAGCTCCTCCCTGTCGCACCCACCCCGAAGCCAGTCGAAAGGGCGGGCTGGGCGTTTCACTTGAGACTTCCCCACTACGTACGATCCTGAAGCTTGAAAGTTGTAACAGCTTCACGGATGGAGGGCGGGCCGCTTTCAAAATTGCGGGCCGCTTTCAAGATGCGGCTCCTACCTTCGCGTCGCGCACAATCGTGTTGAACAGTTGCAAGAATTTCGCGGATTGAAGGCAGGTGGTTTTCTAAACGAGGCTCTCGCTTTAGCGCTGCGCACTCGTCTTAAAAAGTAAGACCAGTTTCACCGATGGGGAACGGGCCATTGTTTCAAAATGTGGCCCTCGCCTTCGCGCCGCACACATTCGTACTATAAAATAAACAGAACTTCACGGATGGAGGGGAGTGGTGATCAAGTTGTGGTTTTCGCATTAGCGTCGCGCACATTCATTTTAAAAGCTCGGATTAATTTCGCGGATGGAGGGCGGTTCTTTTCAACATGTGGCTCTCGCTTTAGCGCCGCGCGCGGTCGTATCATGTGTACAACAATTTCAAGGATTCTCTCGGAACGTGTCGGACTGTCAGGGCGCAACATTTTGTTCAGGGCGCAACATTTTGTTGATTTGCGGCGTTGAAATTCCAGGAATGGGGTTCTGGCACGATTCGGAATCATCGAGACGCAACAGGAACGGCGATTCGCGGCGTTGAAATCCCAGTAACGGTGCGTTGAAGGCACCATTGCTGGGATTTTCACACTAATTGTACAGTAGTGACACCAGTCATGGCACCACTACTGGTACCGTTACGTAATGGCACCAGTAATGGTGCCAGAACGCACTGCGTTCTGGCAAGGTTCAGGAATTTCAAACGGTTGTCTTCCAACGGGGCACTTTCCTCAATGAAGAGGAGCCCTTGTAGGGGCCTGTGAGGAGCCTGGAGGGAGGTCGTATTGCAATATCGTTGATGAACCTTGGGCTTGCACTAGTCCTCCTCGTCCTCTGCCTCCTCCGCCGACTCCTCCTTCTCCTCCTCCTCGTCCTCCTCCTCCTCCTGCTCCTCCTCCTTCTCCTCCTCTTCCTCCTCCTCCTCACCATCCAGGCGGGGCGGGCGGCACGGCGGCACGCCCTGGGTGGAGCCGCGGCGGCCGCGGCCCGCCCTGCCCGCCCGGGCGCTGCCGCCAGGGCCCTCGCCTGGCGGGGCCTGCACGCCGCTCGGCCGCGGCGGGGCTCCCTCGGCTTCCAGTGGCAGCCGGTCCTCAGACGATGGACTGACACCGATGGGCCCCACCTCCTGCTGCTACGGTTCCTGCTTCTCCTGCTGCTGCTGCTGCAGCTGCTGCTGCAGCTGCTGCTGCAGCTGCTGCTGCTGTTCCTCCTCCTCGTCCTCCTCCTCCTCCTCCTCCTCCTCCTCTTCCTCCTCCTCCCCCTCCTCTCCTCCTCCTCCTCCTCCTCCTCCCTCCCTCCCTCCCTCCCTCCCTCCCTCCCTCCCTCCCTCTCTCTTTCTCATTTGTTTGTTCGTTGCTTTTTGTATATTTCCTTTCTTGTTTTTTGTTATCTCTCTTTCTCTCTTTCTCTCTTTCTTTCTTTTTTTCTTTCTTTCTTTCTTTCTCTCTCTCTCTCTCTCTCTCTCTTTCGCAGCGTTCCGCAACGTGCCCTTCCGCCGCCGCGCCCGCCGTACGCCGCGGGACGCTCCGGCTACGTGGCGGCGGGGCCCACAAACGCGGCCGTGGGTCATTTCCGGCTTTCCGAGGGGGGGGAGGAAGGATACCAGTACCATGCCCTAAACATGGAAAAAGGAGAAATGGTAGAGATCGGCCCCGCTCTAGGGTCTCGTAGCTCAGCTGGCGGTCCTGGTAGCTCCATAGGTGGCCCTCGCTCTGGTGGTGGCCCTCGTAGCCACGCAAGTGGCCCTTGTAGCTCAGCTGGTGGTCCTTGTAGCCCATGTAGTTATGCTGGTGGCCCTAGTGGCCCAGGTCGGGGCCCTCGTAGCTCAGCCGGTGGCCCTCGTAGTTCGGCTTGTGGTTTCCTGCTCGCGCCTCCGCTCGGCGTGGCCAGCTTGGCATTGCCGTTATGTCCTTTGTTCTTGCCCTTGCCATACTTGGTCTTGCCATTCTTCCCCCTCGATGCGCCGATGCACTGTTCAATTTCTGCTTGAAGTGATCCCCCCGAATCGTCATTGGCCAGATCGTGATATTCTGCCTTCAAGATGTCGCCGCGCTGACACGCGGTGTTGTCCTTGTCGCCGTATTCGCTCTTTCCCCTGCTGCCTGGCATGAGTAACTGGCCCCGAAGCAGCTCTACGGCTGAGCATGGCCTCGGCCTCCGTCCTTCTGGTGTCTGGGCCTTGTGCTCCTCATAGTAGTCGTAGGCAGCCAGGAGTGCCTTCGCGGCGCCAAAGGGCCCCAGCTGGCGGACCAGATCCCCCTTGTCCTCACAGTGGCCTGCAGCCTGCATGTCTACGGGGGCCAGCTTACCATCAGAATGTTTAAGGGCGGGGCCTGTGGCCTTGGCGATGGCCTGGGTAGCGAAGACCTCAGTGATGTCCCTTCCGTCGTGGATCACGGTCCTGGGGAGTGTCAGGCCCTCCAGTACAGCGTACATGATGCGGACCTCGCTCTGCTCGTCGTTCTCCTCGGACTCGTCGTGCCCGTCGTCGCCCTCCTCGTCGCTCTCGTCGGCGCGTTCCTTCTCTATGCCTCCGTTATGCGACGGCTTCTTAAGGCAACTACGAAGGAGTGTATCGGCGGTACTGGAGCACGGCGGCGTCCACGTCGTCATGTTTATGGCCGCGTGGTGGCAGTAGCACCGCCCCTGCTGGTCGAGGTAGCTGGTCCAGCCTGGTGGCAGGGAGGCTGGTGCCGGCGGCCCACGTAGTTCAGCAGGTGGTCCTCGAAGCTCTGCTCGTCGTCCTCGCAATGCGGCAAAACGCCCCTAAAGCCCTCCAGTTACCTTCATAGCTCAGCTCGTTGTTCTTGCAACTCTGCCAATTTCCCTCGTGGCGCTGTTACTGGTTTTCGGCGTTTCACTTCTTGTCGTCGAAGCTCTGCTGGTGGCCCCCGTAATCCTGTTGGCTGCCCCAGTGGCTGAGATGGTGACTCTCGTAGCTTTGTTTGGGGCCCTCGAGGCTGTGCTGGTAGCTCTCGGAAGAGCTTCTTCTTGCCGTCGAAGCTCTGCGGATGGTTCCCGAAGCCCTGCTGCCAGTCGTCGTGATGTTGCGGGCGATTATCCAAGCTCTGCTGGTTGCACTTGAAGCTCTGCTGGTGACCGTCGGAGTTATGCTCTTTGCCGTTGTACGTCTTCTGGCGGCACTCGCAGTTTAGCTGGTGGCTCTCGTAGGTCTGCGACTGGCCCTTGAAGGTTTCCTTGTCGTCGTGGCTGTGCTGGCGGCCCTCGTAACTCAGTTGGTGGCTCTCCAAGCTCAGCTGGTGGCTCTCCAAGCTCGTCTGGTGGCCCTCGAAGTTCTGCTCCTTGCCGTCGTAGCTCTGCCGGCGGCGTTCGAAGTTGAGCCGGCGGGTCTTGCGGCTCTGCTTCTTGCCGTCAGAGCTCGGCAGGTGGCCCTCGCAACTCTGCTGGTGGCTCTCGAAGCTCCGCTCGTCGCCGTGGTAATGCCGTTGGGGGCCTTCTTGGCTCTGCCGGTGGTCCTCGTGTTTCAGCTGGTTGCCCTCGAAATGCAGCGGATGGTCCTCGTAGTTTTGCTGGTGGCCCCGGTGGCTCATCTTGTGGCACTCGAAGACCTCCCTGCTGTCCTGGCAGCTCACTTCGTGTTCTTCGTGGCTCGGCAAGTGGATCTCGTAGCTCAGCCAGTGGCCCTGGAAGGTCGTAGCTCAGCCAGTGGCCCTGGAAGCTGTGACCCGTCGCTGCTGTCGTTGTCGTCCTCGTAGCTGCTGTCGCCGTCGTACTCGCAGGCGTCGTGCTTGTAGGCGGGCTTCTGCAACTGGTGCCAGTGCAATGCTGCTGCATTCGAACCTCCGCAACGATGTACTGTATCCGCTGATCTAATGGCGCCAAGATGCTCTCGCATAGACCTCTTCCGTGCGTGTTCAGTGCAGCACGTCTTCCCTTGTTTCCCGCGCGAGCTCTCGTATAGCACAGATTCATTCCTTGTCGTACTTGGTGTCGTACTTGGTGCATCTGGTGTTGCAATTGCTGTCGTAGTTGTCGTCGCACTTCGGAATAGCAGCGGTAGTAACGATCATGGCTCCTTGGGATTCGACGTGCCTCGGGTGGGCTGTCCCCGAGGAGCCAGCGCGCCAGCCGGTCGGGCTGCGCCGGGGGGGGGGGGGGGGGCTGCTGTGGCGCTCCAGGCTGCCAGCGAGCCTGCGGCCTCGTCGCATTGGGCGAGGAGGTGCGCCGCGGTCTCCAGGGAGCCCTGGCAGAGCCGACACGGCTGGAAGCCGCCAGCCTGGTCTACCTGGATCGAGGCGCGCCCAGGCGCGCACTGCGTCCAGCGGGCACCCAGCGGCTGTCAGGGCTGGGACGCCCCATTGCCGGTCTGAGGTGCGCTGCAGCCCCTGCACCTGGCTCCTGTGGCTCCACCAGCGAGCGCAGCTCGTCCGTGTCGTCCAGCGCCTTCCCTATGCGCACGCGGCAGTCGCCGTACAGGCGCCGCCGGGCCGCCGCGCTGCCATTTGGGGGTGCCCGCGGGAGCCTGATCTGCAGGCGCTTGAGCGCGGCCGCCGCCGCCTCCCCCCACGAGCCCGGCGCGTCCTCTGTTACGCCGAAGACCCTCCGCGCCTCCTCGTACCGGGGTCCACGTCCACCCTGCTCCAGGAGCACGCCGCGGGGCAGCGGCCCCGTGAGTCCAAGTACGGCGCGGCCTCACTCCTCCTGCACGCGGTTGACATGTCGCTCGAACTCCGGCAGGTGGAAGCAGAGCTCCAGGCCAAACAGCGCCGCCGGCCTGGTGCAGATCCTCAGCGCGTCCAGCTGTTCCCTGATCGGGAAACCGCGGTCCCGCATGGCCCGTATCTGGCGCCTGTCCGCAGCTCCGCCGGCCTCCGGGCATGCCCGCAGATGCCCCTGCGCTGGGGGGCCTCCGTCCCGGACTACTCCCAGGCAGCGGTAGGAGTCCACGAAGGCTACGTCCCCGCATGGCCTGGTATCTCGCAGTCCGCGTGCAGGGGCTGCCGTTGTCGTAGGCCCATACCTGAGGCGCCCCGGGTACTTGTTGGACACTTGTAGCAGGGCCTGCACCTGCTCCTCCTCATCCTGCACCTCCTCCCCCTCCCCCCCCCCTCTCCCTCCCCCTCCTCGCACACGTGGTCGGCAACACTGACCGAAAGGCCTTCGCAATCTACACCGATACCGCGGTACCCTGCCCTAGTCGACACGGCTAACTAGATTAGCCTCGAAATCGTGGTCAGAATGCACCCCATATGTGGCGACATTCGAACCCTACACCCAGCAACCATCGACTCTCCTGAATCGATGGGAGGCGGATGTAGGGTTCGGATGTCGCCACATTTTCGACATGTTCCGAACCCTCGCCGCCCATCGAGTTGCCCGAATCCTTAATTGGCGAGGGTGGGGGTTCGGATTTCGCCACCGACCACAGGAGCGGCCCATGACGGTCCGTGGAGCAGCGGTGTCGGTATCTTGTGATTCCCCCGGGTCCTCGCCGGCCCGCCGGATCAGCGCGACGCCGTTGTGAATGGGGAGCACGAGGGGTTCCAGGCGGTCGTCCCTGCGTACCTGCGCGTTGAAGCCCGACAGCACGCTGGCGACCTCGTCCTCTGGCAGCTTCGAGGGCCAGGGCGAGGGCCAGCAAGAGTTGCAGGAGCACCTGTGGTCCCGGTCGCCGAGCGCCGAGCTGCAGTACACCGCGCCCTTCCACAGCACGTCGTCGACCACGAACACTCCCCCAGGGACCAGGAGGTCTCTCTCGAGGATGGCGTCCAGGTAGGCACCGTACTCGGTCTTGCTGCCGTCGATGAAGACCACCTGGAATTTGTCCCCCTCGTCGCTTGCAGGCAGCTCCCGCAGGAGGTCCCCGATGTCGCCGTGCTGCACCGCCACCTTGCGCCCGTGGGGCGACTGGTGCAGGTGGTCCCGCGCGAAGTCGGCCAGGAAGCCGTCCGCCTCGAGGGCCACCACGCGGCCGCCTGCGGGTAGCGCCTCCGCGATGCCCAGCGCCGCGCCGCCAGTGAACAGCCCGATCTGCAGCGTCCTGGTGGCACGCAGCGTGCGGCACAGGAACTGCAGCGTCTGCACGAGCACTGGGTTGGTGCTCATGCCCTCGTGGAACAGGTCCCGGGTCTCCTTCTGCAGGTACTTCTGCCGCCAGTCCACCTGCTGGGTCGCCCGCTGCAGGCTGTCCCACTGCTGGCTCATGGGCCTGTTGACGCTCTGCAGGTAGGGGTCGAGCCCAGAACAGAGCTCGATGGCAGACTTGAGGCGGGTCTCGCAGCCGTCCTGCTGGCCGGCCTGCAGCGCCGCCAGGGCGCCCTCCAGCTGCATGCGAATGCTGTCCACCAGCGAGAACGACGCGTTATTGTGCAGACCCGCCTCGCAGCCAGGGTTGTGGGGCTCCTCGCGAGCTGCCGCCCCACGCTCGGCTCGCTCGGCGAGCGGCTCCCAGATGGCGCACACCGCCTGCGCGGCAGCCTCAGGGGCGGCCGCTGCCCCCGCGCTCGCGGAGCCCTCCCGCGGCGGCGCCGCGGAGCCCTTCAAGAAGGCCGTGCTCGACGCTGCCTTGCCGGAGCTCAGGGAGCCGGCGGAGGTCGAGATGGAGAAGACGCTGGCGGCGTCGTTCCCCACGGTCGGCTGGCAGCGCTCGTCGGCGGCGGCCAGGCCAACTGGCCCGTCTGCCCGGAGGGCGCGGTCGACGTCGTCCGGCGAGAGCAGGCGGCGGGCCACGGGGACGGGCTCCGTGAACTGGCGCCTCGCGTTCACCCGCTCGTCCTCGGAGTCCTCGTCGAACGCGTTCCGGGCGTCCGCCAGGGGCGAGCGCTCTGGCTGCGGCTCTGGTGGTGCCGCGCCGGCGCCGACCTCCTCCGCACCGCCGTCCAGGGCGGTGGCCTCCTCCACGGCGCCCAGGGCCTCCGGGACCCGGCACCCGAGCTTCCGCACCTCCCTGCGCCTCTCCCGCTGCCGCTGGCGCTTCGCCGCGCGACCCGTCAGCGCGCCCGCGCGCACCAGCAGCTGCTCCACCAGGAGGGCCAGGCAGGCCTCGAACTCGGGCCACGTCTGCGGCGGGGGCGACAGCAGCTCCGAGGCCCAGCGGCGCGGCGGTACCCGCACCAGGTCCCTGGTGACCTGGCGGGCGGCAGCGAGCGCGGCTGGGATCCGCGCCGGGTCCTCGCACGCGGACGCGGGCCAGCCCACGGAGTGCACCGAGTACCGCCCGCCGGAGTCGGTGGCACCGTCGAACTCCATGGACGCCAGCAGCGGGAAGAGCTCCGCGCTGAACGGCACAAAGCTGCGCTCGAACCCCGCGGCGCGGGCCTGAGAGGGGCAACGTTGGGGGGACCAGCTCAGGAGGGGGGGGGAGCATCGAGCTTGAATCGGCGATGCATCGCCGATATGCCCCCGATAATCGATTTCGCGATTGGCGATTGGTGTCGATGCTTCCCCCCCCCGAGCCAATCCCTCCCCTCAAACATTGCCCCTTGGTTTTCACGTCATAGCTTGGCTCTCCCGCGGCCGTTTGGGACGCTCTGGGCACCCTGGGAACGGTCAAGGCACCCCGAGGCTGGAAGACTGCCGAGAAACAACGAAAACCCCGAACGAAAACCTCGAAAGACCCTGCGATTAGGGGTCGATGCGTCCCCCGAGCCTGTCCCCCCCCCCCCCCCTGAAGTTGCCCCTGGCCTGGAACTCCGCCTTCCAGGTGGCGTGCAGGGTGCTGTGCAAGGCGCCCGCGAGCGACACGTCGTGCACCAGCAGTGCCTGCCGCCGGCGGTCCGTCGACCAGCCCGCCCAGTTGACCAGCAGACTTTTATCCATGGCTGTGCAAGCAGCGGGGCGCGCAGCCCACCCAGATCTTCCAAATCTGATCCAGAGAAGGAGGAGGAGGAGGATGAGCAGGAGGAGGAGGGGGGGGATGAGAAGGAGGAGGAGGCGGCGGAGGAGGAGAGGAGGAAGAGAAGGAGGAGGAGGAGGAGGAGGAGGAGGAGGAGTAGGAGGAGGAGGAGGAGGAGGAGGACGAGGAGGAGGAGGAGGAGAGATATGAGATATCGGAGATACTGATCGACGCACCAGGGTGCGGGGACGAAGGGCTCGAGCGGACCTCAAGAGCCTTCCTCCAAAAGGATGGGCTCCGCAGCGGCGGCTCGCGAGGAGGTGGGTTGCGGTGGTGGTGGTGGTGGTGGAGGATGATGAGGAGGAAAAGGAAGAGTGAGGTTCCAGCTCTTGCTCTGAGGTTTCCTGGGACATCCAGGGACGTCCTGGGGGATCCTGAGACCTCCAGGTGCCTGGCAACACCTGCCCACTACACAACTGATACCCCCCTTCCCGCTACTGCTACCTCGCTGACATGCAGAACGGCATGAACATACATTGCCGGTGTGCCGCGCGGATTTTCTTGACAGCCCCTGGATAACTACCAGATCGGTTGCCGAAATGATCCGCACACGAACCTCTCCTTGAGCTGCACCTTCTGCTACGAATAAAGAAAAGGGAGAGCTGGTTCACCGACGCATGCGGGGCGCCCATCCGCGGACGCGCGCGGCCCCTCTCGGCATCGTCTTCTTCATCATCAGAGTCCCCCTCCGTCGTCAGCAGCGCGAGTCTCTATCTGTGAGCTCTTTCTGATTTCGGAATGCACGGCGATGTTGCGCTGCCGAATGCTCTCCAGACAGCCAGCAATAAACGCTGTTTACACATCCTCGTCTTCGATCACGTCAGATTCGACCTCGCCATCCCTGGAGGGCTGCGAATTGCGAAACCGTCGCCACTTTCGAGGGTTGCTGGGGGGCCCAGTACAATGAAGTCTTACGCGGACTCAGGTCAGACCTCGGCATCTCTGGGGCGCTGCGAAGTGAAAAACTGTCGCTACTTTCGAGGGCGACTTGGGAGGGGAGATGGAGGAACTGGCGGCGAGCGTTTAACCCCCGCGCTGGAACTTGCAGGAAAGAGGCCGAGCGGCTGGGAGTGCAACTCGGCCTCGCTCAGTTCTTGCACTGACTCCACATAAGATCTAAACCGTCATTATCAAGATGCCGCTGCTCATGGGTGAGGGTTGAAGCGTTGCCCATCCTTCCTCCTTCCTCCTTGCTCGTCGTTCTTTTCCTCCATGTTCTTCCTCCTGCTGTTGCTTCGACGACGTATCGCCCCGCCCTTGCTGCTGCTGCTGCTGATTCTCCGTCTCCGCTTCGCTCCCGCCCCTATCCCCTTCGGGCCTAAGGCCTATCTCCTCCCATCCTGGCCTCGCCCTCCGATCGGTGTCCCGTGAGTCCCACAGCGCGTACGGCCCCACGTCAACCTCACGAGCACATGTCGGTCCTTGCCACGTCATTATCCGTGATCACTTTGGCCAACTGTTCGGGTCCGCCGTTGTAGATGGGTTGGGTACGTCGAAGGGTAGTGCTGCTGTTTACTCCTCGAGGGCAGTAGCGGTGAACATCGAATCGATGAATCGGCCCCGATCGGAACGTGCACCAGATTCACCAGATCGCGCCAGGAGGCACAAGGGCGCCTGCAGAGGAACAAACAACGGCATAAACACGATTTCTCTGAGCACCGCGCGGGCTTCTTGGATCGGCGCTGGACCCCGTCCCTGGCGCGCCATGGGGCGACGCTGGAGGCGCCGGCCCAGCGCCGATCCAAGAAATCCGCGCGGAGCTCCGAGAAATGGTGTTGCATCTTTGCAGTGCTCGGGGATAGACAGACCCCCCTTTAGTAAAACGTGGTTTAGTGAAAATGACCTGAGGCCCAAACCTAGCGGGCGCAAGCCTGGAAAATAACGGCCACGGCGCCCTCTCGAGAACCGAAAACGGACAATTCACTAATCGACGTGTCACTGTTGGGGGTTCTGTCCACCCCCGAAGTGCTGTTTCTTCAGCGCGTCGCCACGGCGGCCCCAGAGCGACACGCTGCGCCCTGCGAGCGGATATAGCGCGTCGCTCCGCTCCGCGGGGCGGGAGGCCGGGAACACCTCGGGACGCGGACGCTCGGGGGCGCTGATGACTACCTACCAGACCACCCCAACCCAACCCGAAGACCCGAATTTGACCCGAATTTCGGGTTGGGGGGGGTACGGGTTCCATGTGTTTTTTCAACGTTCCCCGACCCCCCCCCCCCACTGGAAATGGAGGGCAAATTGAGGCCTTCGGGTTGGGTTGGGGTGGTTTGGTAGGTGGTGAGCTGAGACGTGGATAGCGTGTCGCGCCGAAGCGTAGTGGGCCAGAGCCGGCGGAGCGACACGCTATCCAAAGTTCCCGACCGTAGGCCCCCTCCCGTCCCTCCACCCCCTCCCCTCCCGCACCCCTCCTCAGGAGGCGTTCGGCGCATCATTCAGGCACCCTCGTTTTGCAATGCGTGGACGGCCACTTTGGAAAGCAATCGTGCAACAACCCCGGGGGCGGCGGGGCGCGGTGGCTCTCCTTCTTTTGCCGCGGTGCCGGCGACGGCGACGAAGGGGCGGAAGCCTCCTCGTCGTCGGCCCCGGGCTCCGACCTCGGAGGGTCTCGGCGGCACGCAGGAGGGGCACTGGGCGAGAGGATGGGGAGGCGGCGGCTCGCCCTCGGACGATCCTCGGTTAGCGCGAACGTGGAAAATATGGAGTGGCGTGCGCGCTATGCCCGTATGCATAAACCGCCCGGCGCTCACAGCTGCGTGCTTTGTGCTTCCCCCGCCTGCCCCCCGAACTCAGTCCCCTGATACATGTCAGAGGATGGGGAGGAGGACCCCGAAGCTTGGGCGCTTCAACTCTTGCACACCAGGCGTTTTCGCCCAGTTTCGGCCCTGGGGGGGCATCACAGGTCGATCCAGGTCGAAGCATGCCGCAGAAAGCTTGGGTCTGGTCGTGATATCTTACGATGTTGCAACTTTTTCGCAACGTCGGATCTCAAGGTGGGTGAAGATGACGCGCCATTGAAGGAGGGTTTGCCGTCATACGCGTTGTGCCAGCTCCTCCATTACGTGTTGCGCCAGCTGCCGTATGGTATATTGGTACCCTGGTAAGAGGATAACGACGACGATGCCTTAAGACTCAGGGCCCATGCGTCCGCGAAGCGGTCCCACAAAGGAACTTCTGCCAAGGACATGCGGCATTCGCATGTGGGCTGCAGGCCAAAGATGGCCCACTCACGGCGGGTATGCTAGACCGTCGAACCGTCAGAAAGACGGCTCACGATTGAACGGACAAGATCTCGAAATATGTTTAATAAGGGAGCCTACGGGAGAAACCGATCCACAACAACTCATCCTCTGTTCCTCATCTCCTGAGACAGGCTGGCCGCCCGTGGAGACAGAGGAGAAAGGACGAGGAAGGGGAGGGAGGAGGAGGGGGAGGAGGAATCGGCAAACGCAACTGTGCACCAAATGGCCTGAGCAGGACTGCGACCGTCACCATGCACAAGAAATCCTTCGAAGCGTGGAACGCAGTCCATCCAGAAGCGAACCGGTTGCCAAATTCTGCTCTGTGGACGTCATCCAGAGAAACTTTCTTGCCAAGGTACTTCTCTGACTCGCAGTGCTGGAGCACTCTCACATTGTGCGCGCCGCACTCTACGTGTGGCGGCCGGCCCGATGCGCTGGTCAGTACCACTGTCTTGCCCAGATGGACCTTCAGGCCGTACTTTTTGGCATCCGACTCCAACTCTCCGACTCCCAATCTGCGATCATCGTGGGTGCAAACGGGCCCGCCGAAACGACATGGCCGCGCTTTCCGAGACCCCTCCGGCCTGGAGCCCCGCGAAGGAAAGATGACTATAAATACGCTACCCCCTGGGCGGAGTCAGCGCTCCTTGACAATGAGGATACGCGTCAAGGATGCAACTGCTGTTGTTGGTTTTATTGGCTTTCGAGTTGGTTTGGGTGGTCGAGGTTATCTTGTTGTGTTTGTTGGTTGGATGTTGAAGCCCATGACCCTCCTTCAGGGGCCAGGACGGCCCGAGGGGCAAGAATGCAGGAACACCCGTGGAAAGCTGCTGGCCCTTCTCGTGCTGTTCGACTTTGTGATTCTCTTCGCCCGACCAGCCCCCGAGAGCTTCCGAAGGCCCCCGAAGGTCTCCGAGGGCCTCCCTTCGGTCTCCGACTGCCTCCGAGGGCCTCGGAAGGTCCCCGAGGACCCCAAAGAAGGCCTCCGAGGGTCTCGGAAGGCCTCTGAAGGCTTCTGAGGGCCTCAAGTGGCCTACGAGGGCCTCCGAGGCGCGCTCTTCGCCCGATCGGGATTGAAACAAGCATGCCGTCGGAAGTCGGGCTCTCCAGAGGGAGGAGGAGGAGGAGGAGCAGCAGCAGCAGCAGGAGGAGGAGGAGGAGGAGCAAGAGGAGGAGGAAGAGGAGGAGGAGGAGGAGGAGCAGCAGCAGCAGCAGCAGGAGGAATAATGATGACCAGTTCTATTCGCCGCCGAGAGAAGCAGGGGGAGTATCAAAACAAAAGACCCTCAGGGGCTACCTTCGCGCATCGCGCCCCGCGATGCGCGATTCTCCTCGCCCCCCCGCGCCCTCGCGCCGCCCCCCTGGAGAGGGGCACGTGGGCAGCGTGTCGCGTCGAGGCGTAGGGCCACAGCCAGCGGAGCGACACGTTAACCCAAACAATCCGACCGTAGGCCCCCTCCTAACCCTCCACCGCCTCCCCTCCCGCATCCGTCATCAGGCAACGTTGTGTGCATACTCAGGCACCCTCTTTACTAATGCATGGACGGCCAATTTGGAAAGCCGTTGTGCAACAATGCTGTCTTTCCGTTGGCACGAAACAGATGCTCAGGTGTAATATCTGATTGCCCCTCCTCCTGCGTGGCACGACCACTCCCCCTGGTGAGCCGATGTGGCGGGCTCAAAAAAACCTCAAACCAAAAAACTCCACACCTCTTGAACAAGGACCGACCGTCTCGGCATTCCTACAGGCCTACCGCG